GGACAGAGTCAATATTTTTATTTTGAAGGAAAACTGAAAGTGTAGATCTGTTTGCTGGTGGCGTCAGAGGTCACACCTACCTCAGCCTGGATGCTTCTCATCTGGTTTATGCTGAGAACCAGATTTATTGGGACTTTGGCTGTCACTTTGAGTCTTGAATCAGATATATCTCTGCAGTATCGAGAGAGGTGTTGTGTAAGGGGACTGTAACCTGGTGTATATGCACAGCAGTTTCCTTCCAGCTGGGCTGGAGGAGAGCAGGGTGTGCTGTTTTGGGGCCAAACCCAGTGCTGGCAGTGCAGAGGAGTGAACTGAAGCTGGGAAATGCACAGGTAAATGCAGGACAGGAGTTCCCAGAGGGTTCCCCAGTCCCAGAGTGTGTCACTAGCATTGGAGCGTGTCTCTCCATTGGGGAGAAACCCTGGAAAACCCTACTTAGGTGGGGTCCTCTGTGTCAGATCCCTGCTTGACACCTCTGGTTCTCAGGGGCTGAGATGTCCCCAGGTTCACCAGCTGCTCCTGAGCCTCAATTCCGTGTTTTTGACCCCGTGTGGTGTCCATCCTGAAGTATAAGGCTCTTTTCCCTTTGGCAATGAGCACAATTCAATGTCCTTTCAGGGGAGTGAATTTTAGGTTTCTGCTGGTTGCACCAAAGCCATGTTTGACTTCCACCACCTGGCTTTACCATCTCTGTCTTTTCTTACGTGTCTTACTTGGAGTTTTGTTTGTTTGCTTGTGATTTTTTTTCTTTTTCTTTCCTAATTTTTTTTTGTTATTGCTGGGTTTTTTTGTTGTTGTTGTGGTTTTTTTTTTTTGTTTTTTGGTTGTTGGTTGTTAAGGGTTTTTTGGGGGGGTTGTTGGTTGGGGTTTTTCTTTTTTCTTTGTGTTTTCTTTGGTTTGTTGGTTTTTCGGTGGGTTTTTTTTCTTCATTTGCTTCCTGGCTTCCAGTCCTCCTGATAATGTGTTCATGGGCTATTAGTTTATCCCCACAGAAGCAACACTACTTGTGTTTTTCTTCTGGGACAAGGATTAGAGAACATCGCTTCTTTTCTTTCTTCTCTTTTCTATCCTCCTCCTTGTGACCTTTTATTCCTCAACCTGTTCTCCTACAGGGTTGAATTCCCGATTCACGAGTTTTTGCAGGGGCAGAGGAGCCTGAAGGCTGTAAACCAGTCTCTGGGTGCTTTGTGTTTTCCCAGAGAAGATGCTGGTGGTGGGAGGAGGTCTTGAAGTTGATAGGTGGTGTGAACACTAAAAGGAAACCCTTTTTTTTTTTTTTTTTTTTTTTTTTTTTTATTTCTTCTGTTGGTGGATGGTTCATGGTCTGCATCCAGATCTGGGGTCCTCAGCATGGGAAAGACATGGGCCTGTTGTGGCAAATCCTGAGGAGGTCATGGAGATGCTGCCAGGGCTGGAGCCCCTCTGCTCTGGAGCCAGGCTGGGAGAGCTGGGGGGGTTCCCCTGGAGAAGAGAAGGCTCCAGGGAGACCTGAGAGCCCCTTGCAGGGCCTAAACGGGCTCCAGGAGAGCTGGAGAGGGACTGGGGACAAGGGATGGAGGGACAGGACACAGGGAATGGCTTCCCAGTGCCAGAGGGCAGGGTTAGATGGATATTGGGAAGGAATTGCTGTCTGTGAGGGTAGTGATGCCCTGGCACAGGTTGCCCAGAGAATCTGTGTCTGCCCCATCCCTGGAAGTGTCCAAGGCGAGGTCGAATGGGGCTTGGAGAGACCTGTTCTAGTGGAAAGTGTCTCTGCCCAGGGGTTGGAACTGGATGGTCTTTGAGGTCCCTTCCAACCCCAACAGTTCTGTGATTCGTGTAATTATGCACTGGACTGCAGGTGGGTACTGAAGGCCTTTCAAAAAAAGCACAATGTTTTGCCCTACCTGCCCAGCCAAATAATCACAGGAATGCCTTGGGGCGGGGGGGGGAGAGGGAAATGGCATTCATAATCAACTGGGGATCTGGTGAAAAGACCATAAATCACGGGATTGTCAGCGAAGTCATGACACTGGCAACACTGAACTAAGGATTTTTTTTGCTGGGGCTCGTGTTTTCTTGGCCTCGCTCAATAAAATAAAACCTGCCAAAGCAGCAGCAGCAGCAGCAGCGAGCTCTTGTCTATCTGTTCTCATACTCCCAGCCGCTTCTGCCTGAATTATTCATGTTCGGTAAGTGATCTGCAAACAGCTCCTGTGATCTCCCTGTGATCTGTGGGTATGTGGGACTCACCCCTGCTTAGGTCAGGGCATTTTCTTGTTTCCTTCCCCGAGGCTGGGAGTCTGTGGGAATCTCCAGATTCCTCGCCTGCCTCCTTCTGATTAACCCAGCCCGTGTGTTTATTATTTACGTGGTAGGATTTGTTCAGCTGTCCCAGGCACATGGTATTATCAGTGGATAAGTAAGGAGGCTCCCTGAGAACATCTGTAGTTGTTGCCTGACAAATCCTGTTGTATAAATAATATTAGGGAGCTGCAGAGGCTCTTGTAGGGTAAATACCCTTGTGACTCAAGGCAGCACTGCCAGCTTCTCACCCAGCTTTTCACCTGCATGTGCATCTCAACAGAGATTTACTGGGCTGTTTTTTTTAATATATAAAACATATATATATATGTTGAAGATGTATATTTAAGATGTCCCAGCTGATTGCAAGGGGTTTGGACTAGATCACTAACCTAGTTTGGTCCTCCAGTTGTTGTGGTTTTTTTTAAGTTTGGTTTCTTAGTTTAAAGGCCCCTCCCGACCCAAATGATTCTGATTCTATGATCCCAACATATATGTGTAGATGTTATATGTATTTGCCTGATTTCCACAAGCTCTTCTCTGTCTTTATTTCAGACTTTAATATTTTCTTCTGATTTGGGCATAGAAAGAGGTTGGCAAAACTAGTGAGAAGGGCAGTTTATGGTCAGGTAATGGGCAGGTATTCTGTGAACTTTGCTATCCATATCACTGATGAAAAGGACTGTGTTCCTCTTTCATCAAATACACCCCGGGTACATCTTGGATCTACTCCTCCAGTATCATCTACCTGATCCCAGCACAATGGGATAAACCACTCTATATTTTGGGATGAGGACTGGAGTGCTTTGGGAACCCATTTCCAAGTGGAGCTGATGCTCTGAGCTCTGACCTTCCCCAGCTAAGGGAGTAGCCTCTGGTGAATAAAAAAAAAAAAAAAAATCATTTTAGTTACCTGCTTCTGTGTACTAACCCTAAGGAAAACCTGTGCCTTGCCTAGGATATCCCTCACCGACGACATCTCTGGGATACAGCAGCGAGTTTGTTAAAATGCCCTGTCTCTCTGCATTCTGGAAAGAGGATTTTCTATTAAACCTTAGGGAAATTACTGGCCTTGTTAACTAGTGTAGAAGTAATGAACCACAGCAGGGTGGCTCGAGAGATTTGGGCCCTTGCTTTGTAAGGCTGCATTGTTTCTTCAAATGAGAGAAATAATTTAAGCAAACAAACGAACAAAGAATTTCTGGAAATTAAAGTACGGTACAAATGGGATGATTTGATCATCCTCTGTTTAATAGGAGCAGTGCAGCGAACAATTGCGTGGTCGACCTCAGAAATTTATCCATGGTAACCAGTCACAGGAGAGAAAAATAGACAGCCTTCCACCAACTTGGTATTAAAGTTCTATTTTCTGTTTTTTCCACGGCTGTGGGCCAGTCAGGGACTTTCCATGAGCAGTCAGCACAGCAGAAATCCCCTTCTGCAGACACTGCTGCTGGGCAAGGAAAGGTCTGATTCTGGTTTTGAACTGGTTTTGGCTTTAGTGGATTTTGGTTACAGTTTTCAGTGGGATCAGGCAGGAGCAGACCCTCTCTGCCAGATGCATCCTGCTGGGCCAGGGCTGTCAATAGAATGGTTTGGGTTGGGAGGGACTCTAAAGATGATCCGGTTCCACCCCCTGCCATGGACAGGGACACCTTCCACTTGACCAGGTTGCTCCAAACCCTGTCCACCCCGTGGCTGAGGCATACTTGTGGTGGAGTCTGGGTGGAGGAATCCCACCTTTGGCTCCGTCGTCTCTGCAAGGTGCTGGGTGTTAAATCCTCTATGGGATTTGGGGTCTGTGCAAGCCCTGCGTGATCCCTGTGGGTTTGGGCGGGTTTTGCAAGAGCCCAGAGGAAGGACAGAAAGACTCTGGCAGGCTGGAGTTCATCCAGAAATAAATAAACCAGAAATACCGGGCCTTCGGGCTCAATGGTCTGTTCCTCAAAAGACAATTTTGGAAGGGATCTCTGTGCTTTTGTTCTTCCATTAGGCAACCGAGGAGAGAGCGCATTGTTTTCCTCCCCTCATCCGTTCCCCTTTTAGGGAAAGAAGGAGGACTTGGCCACTGAGAGCCAGGCGTCTCAGGGGACCTCCCAAAACAAAGGGCTGTGTGCAGGAGTCATCCTGTCCCCGTCATCCTCTTCCCTGCCTTCACCCTGCACTTGGCACGGCCGCACCCGCCCGGGGCTGTCGTGCCGTGCGCGTCGCTGCCAGCCGGCAGGGAGCTCCGAGGGGTGTTCCTCGCCCTCCTCCCTGGAAACACGGATAACTCCTCTTATCTCTTAGGTTTATCACTTCCCGTAGACTTGGCAAGGCAACGCCGGGGGTTTGTCTTGTGCCAGGGAGGTGTGTGAGCTCCGGGATGGTGTTGACGGCGCAATCCGTGTCCGGGTGCGGTGTCTCGGGTAGCTCAGCGCTCCCGAGGAACGGCACTGAGGTGTTCCTGGGTGTGGATTGAAGCTCCATGGGCACATCCATCCCGTTGTGATTTTCCTCCTGTGGGCTGAAGGCATCCGTCCTGGATCTGTAGAGAATGCCTGTGGGTTGGAGAGCATCTCCTCAGCCATGGTCTGCGTGACCCTTGAGTTAGTTCCCCGTACAGGACATGGAACTGAGCTGGAATGGTTTTGGCTTTGTTTTTTCTTTAATTATAGGTTGTGTAGGGGTTTTTTGATACATACTGGACTAAGACCAACCTATCTTGTTTTGCCCAGGCTCCAAGGCTGACCCTGCTGAGAGCCCCTGAGATACTGAACTCTATGAGCGGAGACCACTTGACTGCACTCAGCACCTTTCAGGACCAGGCCCTAGGTAATTATTCTAATTCTCTGCCTGGATGATGGGTGAAATTTGATGTTCTGGGTTATGCAGACCATCTGAAATGACATTTCTTGTTGTTCATCCCGTGAATGTGTGGATTTTTTTTTTTTTCCCCACTAAAGGTTGTCACTCCAGTGTCTTGACACTGAAATAGTACCACTGATCCCTCAGAAATAAAAGAGTACATCTGCTTTGCTTCCAGAGGAAGAGTCAGAATGGTTTGGGTTGGAAGGCAATTTAAAGGCCACCTCATTCCAACCCCCTGCCATGGGCAGGGACACTTTCCACTGGACCAGTTTGCTCCAAGCCCCATCCAATCTGACTTGAATGTTTCCAGGGATGGGGCATCCACCATGTCTCTGGGAAACCAGAACTGCTGGATCACCATTCTGGTAATGGTCCCCAGCTCTTCTGCTTGGGAAGTTCTTCCTGAAGCTGACTCACAGAAAGCTGTAAAAGCAAAGAAACAAGTACAACAGAAAGTTTTCACTCCCATCAGAAGCAACCAAAGGCTTGCAACAGCAATATTCAATGAATATTGGGTGCTTGTTCAGGTCAGACTTCTTAGAAGTGCTCAAAACCTACAGGTTCAGGAGCCTGCCTTTTAAAATAAATCCAGCATCTATTTTCTGAAGAAAAAAAACAAGTTGTGAAAATCTTACTTATCTTGGTTTACAGTAGCTGCATTCTCTCCTCCAAAGCTGGCATCGCTGTTGTGCCTCTGAGAAACTTTTAGTCTTTGCTCCAAGGATAGATGGAAATCAAAGAGCCTGGGACCGAACTCTGTCCTGCTCTGCATCCCCGTGGAGGTGCAGTGTCAGCCTGGTGCTTTCCCTGAGTTGCACGGGCAGGATTTGGCCCAGTCCTATCCCAGCAAGACCCACTCCAACTCATGGCATGAGCCTGAGAGGCGAGGACCTCAGGGGTGAGTTTTAGGAGGAGTAGAGAGGAAGCCAGCAGGATGCTGTGGAGGTTGCTCTGCAGCCCTGAGGATGAAGGATTTCCTGTAGGGTTGGCTTCCTGAGCGCGCTGATATTCCATACGAAATTCCCTATGCCAATAAAACTATCAGTCAACAGAGGGTTATAATTTTTAACCCCATCTGCTTAGTTTCCCCCTCCCCTCCCCTCCCCAGTTAATAAAAAGCAGCTTTGCACTGATTTCAGCAGAGGTTAAAGCCCAGCTCCCAAGATCAGGATGGCATGAGGGCAGATGGTGTGTCGCTGGCTGTTCTCCCAGAGCATCCTCTCTCCGTGTGGGAACAGAGGGCTTTTCTCCATCCCTCGCAGCTCTGTATGGTGACATTTCAGGATCCAGGCCTGAGGATTTTGACTGGGTTGTTTCCTGTTTTGACAATCCCCGTTTCAAATACTCTATAACACAGCATTGTGCAGGGAATTTAAACAAACCACGACCCGTATCCTTCTCTTGAATATCGTGGTGGGGAGCTAAGCTCAGGTTTCCAGTGGGGAGGGAGAAGACATGGATGATGAGACAGGCTCAGAAAGCGAAGGAGAGGAAAATGAAGAATGAGAAACAAGAATTATATTCTCCTTCAGGGTTGCAGTGTGATATTCCTCCCCATCCACTCAGAATTTGCAGGGATGGGGTGCTTCCTTGGTGCTGAAACTCATATGCTTTGTGTTTAAACTGCTGCTGTCAAAGCTTGGAGAGTAACTAAAACAAAAAGGTCGCAGGTCAAGTGGATGTTTTCCAATTGACCGGAGCGCAATATAAATCCTGGGGAAGGAAATAACCCAACAAACATCCACCAGTCCTGTGCCTGCATTCCCCTGTTCCAGTGCTGGCTGCTTGGTGGCAGGTCCTACAAGGATGTGCAATCCCGTGGCAGAGACAGGCAGGTTTAGCATCCTGAAACATTCCTCAGGCAGCATCCCCTCCCCAGTATATATGTATATATATATTTTTTTTGTGCAAATTTAACGGCATCAGATCCAGGTTTGATCTAGGTCAGCGATTAGAAGGATCAAGAGGTTGCTTCAGGCGAGTGTGATAGGAGAGAAAGCGGCTGCCTGTTGAGGACCTTGGGCTTGGAGCTCATCCTGAACCCCTGCAACGCATCTCCAGCTGATATTTGCAGGCTCAGGGGATTTGGGCAGGTGGCTCTCCCCAGGGGAACATCAAAGCAAATGTGTCTCTGCCACCACTTCTTTGCCTTGTTCCTCTCACAGTCCGTCGTCCCCCCACCCCCCCAACGAAGTTTTGGTGTGGCCAAATGCTCTTGGACGTGTTGTAACCTGAAGATAGGGATAGATAAAGGCAAAGTGTTCTGGGAGCTCTGCCAAGCCAAAGGCACTGAATTATTGAGAGATCCGTATCTCGGTAGCAGATTTATGCTCTATAACAACTTCTAAGAGAAAATGTGGATGTTTGCAGGGGCAGATTGGGATAGTCCTAAGAAATGGAGCTCTACTTTTTGAATTACGTTGCTTTTATTATTATTATTATTATTTTAATAATAATAATATTTCCGCAGTGAAGCCATATATGAGAATATTATTTGTGTAGGAACTGGAAATGAACCCGAAATGATCAGCGTATTTTTTAAAGGCACTTTGCAAGTCACTTGGCATTGGAAAAGGTACAACTATCCATCAAAGCAAGGCTTGGGGATAAAATAATTAGAAATCACACAACCATAACAAAAGAAGATTAGTGCTAAAATTAGAAGCCATAAAGTTGTTTTTAGATTAGGCTGGAATCCGGGCAGGCTGCTTTATTGTACCGTGTTACTTTAAAAAAATGCAAGGTGAGAGAGGTGTGAATTGTCTGCACTGGGTTGTGTCACAATGGTTGTGAGTGTTAGGTGGGATGATCTACGAGATGATTTTCAGGGGAATCCTTAGGGGATGGAAGTACAACCCCTTGGGAGAGACGACCAGCTGCTAAAGGAGCTGAGTTTGGTGCTGAGCTCTTCTCCTGAAGGATGTCCCTTGAGGTTGATTTGCTCCTGGTTTTGTTTCAGGGTTCGAGTGGCCAGATACCCTTCCATGCTGCATCCAGAGGCAGGTGGTGGGATGGCTGGATGAGGAAGGGTCTGTGCCTTGGTCACAGGTGTGAGTTGGGGGCTGCTGTGGTCCCCAGACCTGAGCTGGGTCCTCAGGGCCAGACAGCAACACCAGATGGGCATAGCCTGTGGAGCTTCCTCACTTCATTTGTCTGCTGGAACTGCTTATGGGTGAACAGGAATGAATCCTCTGTCAGAGGCAAACACAAAAATGATCAGTGAACAGGCTGGGAGAGCTGAGGCTGTTCAACTTGGAGAAGAGAAGGCTCTGAGGAGACTATAGAACCCCTTCTGGTGCTTAAAGGGCATCCAAGAGAGCTAGGGAGGGACTTTGGAGCGATAGAATATGAAGAAATGGTTTTACACCAAGAGGGGGGATTCAGACAAGGCAGAAGTAACAAATTGTTAGTGATGAGACACTGGCACAGGTCGATCAGAGAGGTGTATGTTCCACGTGTAAATACCTTCAGGAAAAAGTGTCTGCATGCTAAGAGGCCTTCTGATGCAGCTGGAAAGGCACAACATGAGCAAAAGATCAGAGGACAAGGTCAGGCACAGCCAGGCGTTTTCACCATGGAGGGTGCCAAGCCACTCACAGGAAGGTGACTTCTTCAGTACTGGTGCCTTTAAATGGGGAGTGGGGGATTCCTGGGAGAGAAACCCAAACTTTGTGGGATGTGCTGCCTAAATGTGGACACTGTGAGGTGGAGCCCTTCTCCTGGTCCCACCAGAGGTACCAGATGAGAGGGTCTGAGGTTCCCTGCTGGACAGGAGGCACCGGCCCCCCTGCGACCACCCGCAGCATCTTGTTGGCACACGCGTATCCCGGTGCCTGCAGGGGGGAAAGTGGAGTTGAGACTGCCTGCTCTCCCCCCAGAACAGCTCCCCGCTGTGCCTCCAGCTCGGTGAAAGCAGGACAACTCCTTGCTGTCTCTTTGTAGCCCGAGAACAGAGCCTCGGAAAAGTCCGGCAGCGGGAACTTTACTAATTCCAACTAATGACTCCGAAACAGTGACTGAGGGGAACAATTGCACGTCATCAAAAGGCACAGACAAAAGGAATGCACTGCATTGTAATAGCAAACGGAGCTGGATTTGGCCTGATGGAGCACCTTTCATATTCCAAGCATTTCAAAGCCCTTTGCAGAGTAATGAGCTGCATGCTGACAGCAGGCCCCGTGGACCAGGCTTTATGTGCCCAACAATAGCTGGCACAGCTGTTGGCAGAGGACCTGCTCGTGGTGGGAGAGAGGATGGTGGCAGGGATGCTGGGGTTATCCTGCGCTTTCCTGGGTTTTTTTCGAGTGCTGTTGGATCTCTAGGCTGGCGTTTGGATGGGCACTGGAGGTGATAGGGCAGGACTTGTTGGTCTTTCAATATTTAAAGGAAGCTTAGGAGAAAGGTAGAGACAGACTATTTTAGTGGGGTCTGTAGTGATAGGACAAGGGGTGACGGTTTTAAATTAAAAGCAGTGAGATGCAAACTAGATATGATGAAGAAATTCCTTGTGATAAGGATGGTGAGGCACTGACATGGAGAAGCTGTGGCTGCCCTTGGCCCCTGGAAGTGTCCAAGGCCAGGTTGGATGGGTCTTGGAGCAACCTGGGATAGTGGAAGTTGTCCCTGCCCACGGCAGGGGCCTGGAACCAGATGATCTTTGGTCCCTTCCAACACAGACCATTTTAGGATGCTGTTAAACAGAGGTGGACAGACATGCTCTGACACATATGAGAATCCCTTGGCACGGCTGAGAGTAGACCTCAGTCTTCCAGGTCACCATCTGGCCCTCTAATCTTGTGGTCCCCGTGACAGTTTTCATGAGGGCCCACATACAACTTCAGCTCTTTAATTTTAGCTAAGCCAGAATAGCATTGGTGCAGCTGTGGGAAACAGATATCTTAGTCCTGAAACTATTTCTGTGGCAGGGAAGCTTCTTGTCCATTGCGAGGAGAGGAAAAGGTTAA